TATTAAACCATAATGGTTTAAAGTATGCTTAAGTGTGTTAAGAAATGTAGTCATGAATGTATTTCCTTTAAGTACACTTAAGTGACATTTAATTTAATCAATATTATATTAGTATAATTTAAGAGTACAATTAGTACAAGTACATTGTTTTTTTTATTTTTTATATATACTTTTAAGATTTGAAATACACTATGGCCTGGTTTCACAGACAGGGCTTAGACTAAGCCAGGATTAGGCCATAGTTCAATTATAGGACATTTAAGTAATTTTTATAATCGTGCCTTAGAAAAAAAACATTACTGGTGTGCATCTTGAGACAAAACGAAGGCATTGATATATTTTAAGTCAGTGCAAGTTTCTTCCAGTTGAAACAGCTCAGACTTATATTTTAGTCTGGGACTAGGCTTAAGTCTGGTCTGTGAAACCGGGGGTATAAGTGTTAAAAGTATACAATTAAGCACACTTCACAAGGGTTTACATCCTTTATGTACATAATAATACCATGGTAAATGATTATCATAATCATAAATGAAGTGTTTGCATGATGCATTAAACTACACAGAATAATACCGAGGAACTAAGAACTATAGAAGTAGGCTACCATAGTACTTTTTTTTCGGTTACACTTTATTTTGATAGTCCACTTTAGACATTCTACTAACTATAAGTAACTTTGCAACTTCGTGTCAACTAATGCTCATTAATTTGCAACTACATGCCTACTATCTCTCAGAGCAGACTGTTAGGTTAGGTTTAGGGTTAGTAGAATAATACGATTGGGAAACCAATAAGATTGTTCCTACAGGTGGACTGAGTATATTGGTTCACATCTCCTTTAATCAAACTGTCTGATTATACATTATTTGGATTGCGGTTGTTGCTGTTCATCAGGATAAAAGATTGTAGGCTATATTATCACTCTGTTGCTCATGTACAAAACATTTGTTTGTAAAGCACTTTAAGATTCCTTTTGTTTTTGTTTTTTGTGTTTTTTTTGGGGGGGGGGGTTATAAAGCTTAAAATACTTGGCTCTTATAACATGTACAGTGTTACTGTTTAAGAAGTTTGATGTGTTATTTATTCTTATAGTAGCTATTTTGTGGCATTGTGTGTCTATGTTGTTTTTAAGAAAATTAAAATAAAGAGATTAAAATAAATAAATACATAAATAAAGTGTTAGAAGATACTGAATGAATGAATATTAAGCAGTCTACTAATACTCTAATGACTGCTAGTTGACACCTAGTTGCAAAATACTTACTGTTAGTAGAATGTCTAAAGTGGACTGTCAAAATAAAGTGTTACCCTTTTTCTGTCAGATAACTTGTTAATTCATAAAAACTTACAATATGGAACTTATACTGTAAGTGTTACGGCAGGTATGGTAATATAGTAGGCTACTTATAAAAAACACTACACCCTACTTAAACAAACAGTAGTTACTGAATGATTACTAGCTATATTTTACTTCTAAAACGGTACGTTTGAATCAGAGCGTCAGTCGAAGCTCTGCCGGTCTCTCACCGTCTCCGAGCTCATGGATGTCCTGAGTTTCTCCACCGCGGGAATGTGAACGGGGAAGATTTCTCCGTTCCTCTCCGGCACCGGCGGCGGCGTGTCGTCCCGCATCATCTCGTCGCTGATCTCGGGGTCATCATCACCGTACTCGGGCACCGGAATGCCCTCCGTGACAAACTCCTTCAAGCACTTCAGCTCGTGTTTCTTCAGCAGCTGGTCGGTGTCGGCGTCCACCACTACGAGCTGCAGGCTCCCGGCGCTGGCGCGTATCCTCGCCACGACCTGCTGATGGCTGTCGCTCTCCACGCGCTCTCCGTTCACGAACGCCAACCTGTCGCCGGCGCGCAGACCGGACACCTCGGCGGGGGAGTCGGGCTCCACCAGGCGGATGAACTGGCCGCTTTTGCCCTTCTCTCCGTGCAGATGGAAGCCGTATCCGTTCTCGCCCTTCTCCACGACGCAGAGACGCGGGCGCAGAGTCTGGCTGGGCATCACGCAAAGTCACCTGTTGATTTAATCTGACAAATAAATAGAAATGAAGGGAAAATGAGAGTCGGATGCTCACGGATGAAGCATGTTAACCCGCTCGGCCTCAGTAAATGAAGGGATTTGTTGTTGATATAAAGTGTGAAGAGAAAGTTCTAGTGTTCGACTGTTTGTCTGATCGGCAGCACATCAGCATCCAAATCCAGCCCATGGAGGAGTGACTCCTCTAGAACCTCCTCCTCTCTGCACTCATAAAGAGAAAGCAGAGTGAACTGTAATCGCTGGGACTTTTTTTTTTGCACTTTCGACTTCTGTTATTTACAGTAATGTCATCAGTACACTCAGGTTATGTGACAGGGGCCCAACACCTGAGCACACTTCACAAATGACACAAATCTCCCTCTGGAATGACCAGGTTTGGAAGTTAGCTTTTTTTATAATATAAATTGATTACGGTAGAGTGGGGGGAAACGCCCCCTTAAGGACTGTGTAATTTTTTTCTGTGAAACAAAAGTTAAACGTGTTCAGAAAAGTTATCATAGTTTTAGTGACAATGACATAAATTATAAATCAAGTATGAAAAATATCCAGAGTTTTCATGCAATTAGATTTTTAATAACAATTAATTTTGTTCCAAGGGGGCGTTTTGCTCCATGGGTGGGGTAAAGTGCCCCCAAGTCTTAAAGGGGTCATATGATGCGATTTCAATTTTTCCTTTCTCTTTGGAGTGTTATAAGCGCTTGGTGCATAAAGAAGATCTGTAAAGTTGCAAAGACTAAAGTCTCAAATCCAAAGAGATATTTTTTTTATAAAAGTTAAGAGTCAACCACGCCTACCTAAAACGGCTCGTTCTAACACGCCCCCACATATCTACGTCACTATGTGGGAAGATTTGCATAACGCCGCCCAAATGTTCACGCAAAGAAAGAAGGCGTAACTTTTATTCTCACTGTAGTATTGTTGCTGCCACCATGTCGAGATGCTGTGTGTTTCGTTGTGAAAGCGAAACTACTTTGTTTGGTCTTCCAAAAGAGGACGATATCCACTTCGTCATGCCGTTAATCCGTGCTGGTCGCTGAGGAAATACATCAACTTCGCGCTGTGGATCGCCGGATTGGCTTTCAGCCCGGAGTCGCGGAGTCCATCCCGGGGTCGTCACATATGGTTGCCGCAAGCCCGCCGGCCGCACCATTCTCTAGCCTGCCGGCCTCCACTCACTCTAGGCCGCACAAATGCCTCGTTTGTAATGGGTTTTATTGGTTTTGTCTCCGGGACACGGCATCAAAGTATGGTGATGGGCGTAACATTTCCGTTACACGCTTGAGGTATTCAGCTAATCACAACGCACTGGATAGCTGGCCAATCACAGCACACCTCGCTTTTCAGACCGATGAGCTTTGTAAAAATTGACGCGTTTCAGAAAGGCGGGGCATAGAGGAGAAACAATAATGTACAGTTATTGTTAAACCGCATAAACACATTTCATTACGCCAAATACACAAAATAATGTTCTTTTTAGCAACATCATATGACCCCTTTAAAAAGCAATTTGCTTTATACAATTACAGCAAAATCAGAGTACAGGCAGTTTTAGCTTGAAATGAAAAAACATAATCAGTAATTATGAATTACAAAATTATAATAGCCTATTTGAAAAGTTTTGTTAGCTGATGCTAACTGGCTTGCTAACTGATGCTAATTTGAGGTAATTTTTATATATATAAAGTCCAAATATTTGTATTCAACCAACTAATACATTTGATGGAAAAACAAAGGATTTGACGTTCAGAATAAAGTAGCTACAGCAAGTAAACCGTGCCCCCTGGGGGCGTTTTACCCCACAGACTATGTTTGAAAAAAAATTGTCATTCTGAAAATATAAATTATATTTCTATTAAATAACACACGCTCCCTGTCTACAGGCCCTACTGTTCTCATATCATATATAACTGTGATGTTCTACAACAGTGGTTCTCAAACCTGTCCTGGAGTACCCCCAGCCCTGCACATTTTGTATGTCTCCCTCATCTATCACACCTGATTCAACTCATCAGCTCATTAGTGGAGACTGCAAGACCTGAACTGGGTGTGTCAGATATAGGGAGACATACAAAACGTGCAGTGCTGGGGGTACTTAATGGAGAGGTTTGACTCCGAGAACCCTTGTTCTACAAAACAACAGGCTTTAAAACACTTTTTTTTCTTACTGCTGAAAATTTGATCGTTTACTGTGAAATCCGTTTTCTCTCAGATACATCACCAGTGTAAGCTTCATGGTGAATACTTCTACATCACTCTTGTCAACGTAATGTTACAAAAAAAAAATTTCTTGACTCTATCTTGTGATAATTTTGGGGAAAACAGTAGGGGTGCATTTTACCCCACTCTACCCTATCATGCATAAAAAAATAGATTTTAAATTATTATATAGACAACTGATTTATGCCATGTTAAATTATATAAATAAATGACAACTGCAGTTATGGCTTCATTTCCTCCTGCCAAAACAAAAAAAAAAAAGTGCACTTAGTGCACTTCCAGGGAGACATCAGTGTCAGTTAAGATCTTGAAAAAAAAACACGTGGAAAACAAAGAAAAATCAAGGTAAGCAGAATATTTTCCTATCAAATATTTTCCAATGGAATTGAAAAAATGTAATATCACAATTTTAATCAATATTTTGTTGCATAACAAACATCAACACATAAGTTTACTCTTTTTTTTCTTATTCATGTTCTTGTGTGTAGGCCTACTTGTGCCAGATTTTTAAAATGTAATATCACAATTTTAATCAATATTTTGTTGCATAACAAACATCAACACATAAGTTTACTCTTTTTTTCTTATTCATGTTCTTGTGTGTAGGCCTACTTGTGCCAGATTTTGGGGTTTCTTGCCCTGTGAAGGAGCAAATGTGGGCTACACATCAGCTGTATAGGAAACCGGGACTAGACGAATGTCTCGCCAAGATCAAATAACATCAACATTTATTAATTTGGCAGATGATTTTATGCAAAACAACTTACACGGAATAGTACAACACAAGCATTTACTCATTCAAATAAAGTTTGTTCATCTTCTCGTGTCCCAAACCGAGACCAATAAGTTAACCTGATGTTCACAACTCACTTTATTATTCAAAAGTACAGGACACATATTTGAAATGTCAAAGGTAAGGCAATTAAATCGTTAACTTCGTTATCATTTATTAGTAATTCTCGGTGTATAATACCGCCCCCCTGTGGCTTTAAATATTCAATAAATGAAACGGTGGAAAAAACCCTCACTCACATGTGGTTACAATGGACTTTCTCATGGCACTTTGTGAACACTGTGAACAATGTAAAGCGTAGGTATGAGACAAATCAAAATACTGTACGATACAATCCAGATTTACATTTCACATCAATCTCTAAGTCATACAGTGAGTGTGACAGGTATGAAAGTGTGACATGCTTGTACGCGAAGCAAAAAGAAACCCATATTACCTCATAATCAGGCCTGACTCGGTCAAGCTGTGTTAGGATTGTTTTCAAGTCAATATATACTGATTGTAAACATGATACTTAACATAAGCTAATATTCTGACTCTGCAAGACACTCAAATATACAGTAAAGAACTTTAAAAAAACAACACTACAGACACAAGCTCACGGCCCGAGCACATTTGCGTGGCATATAATGTAATTCAATACTAATATATTTTATACTGTGTGTGTAGATAGAGGCTGTAACCATTAGAGAAGAAACCCAGAAACCACATTACACAAACCTGGAATAATCAGACACACCTGGGTACTGTACACACCTGGATTAATACAGTTTATAAAGCAGAAACGTATTACTCTGATGCACCTCAGCAGTATTTGGCTGTATATTCCTGACTATAAAGCGAACAGGGGTCTGGGGAATCAGACACATCAAAAAGCACGTTTCATTCACACGCGTATTTGTGTAGGAATATCTGTCGTCTGGAGATGGAGACGTGGAGCTGGTCACATGAGGCTGCCGCAGCAGTTGGACTTCTGCTTCTGTGACTCGATGTAATCATGAATCTTGAACTTGGGCTCGTGGGGCTGCTGGATGTTTCTGTGCCTGAGTTCTCTGTGTGGAAATAAAAGAGAAAACATATTCATCAGTTTCAGTGTAATAACTAGAAAGAGAAGTTCAAGGCAAACTTTGAATGATGGTTTGACAAAGCCTTAAAAAACCCTGATACTCTTAGGTTTGAATAAACTTGTGAAAAACTACGCTTAATTGTACTGTATAGAGTGTATTAAAAGATAGACACTTATGACTGTTTAATAGTGACGTGTAAAATTCACTAAATGTTTATAATATATTTAAAAAATCCTCAAACCTTGCTATGGCTTGGAAAGCGAGTTCCACATTGACACCGTTCTTGGCACTGGTCTCCATGAAAGGGACTCCATATTCCTTCAATAAAGAAAAAGCAGAGTATTGCAGTTAAATAAACTGCGATGTTTACTGATCATTTGTAATAGCAGGTACATGGACATGTTAAATTAATTTACACTCATACCTTAGCCAGCTTCTCCCCTTCTTCATGTGTGATCACCCTCTCAGCGGCCATGTCTGACTGTATGAACACAATTATACATTAATATAAAACAGCAATGCATTTGTGTTTTTGGAAGACATTGTCTTAACTAAAGCGAAACTACCCTCAAATACAGTACATGTCCTGCTCTATTTAATTAACCAATAAGAGTGAGAATAGAGGTCCAGTGGATGAGGCACTCTTTTATCAGCTGTTGTGATTTTATTAAACATTCTGAGTTAAGGCTGATATATGGCAGTCTAAAAAATCAAAAAATAAATTTTTTAATGGAACAATTTATTAAACATTTCGACAAAAAAAAGTTTGCAAATGTGTTTCATGTTTTATATCATATTTGATACATTTTACAACTCATAGTATGTTATAGGAGAATATGGTGCTCATGCTGAAGGAGGAAAAAAATCTAATTTCATCAGAGGCCCAAACTGAGCAGAAGTACGCAATTCGGTGCAGCAAGAAAAATGCGATTCTGACAGCTTGTAATGTAAATCAATGAGATCTTTATAACGTGGAATGCCGGCCTAGTTTACTTTCACTGTAAATGCATTACTGTAAACACTAGGGGAAGAGCTGAAATATTCTGTGGTAACTGCATAATGACACAAATGCTGATAAAGCTCATTCCAATAAAGCCTACTGCATCATATTTGATATGCAAATACCTAAGTGCTCTAAATTAACAATTTTTAAAGTATAAGTACAATGTAAAAACATCTACACAATAAGTGCACTGTACCAAAAGATTAATTTAAGTGCAAGTACATAGTAGTTAAGGCCACCTAATATAAAGTGGGACCGAGTTTTTTTTTCTCTTCGAGTTTGAGCACCATATTTTCACTATATCATACCATATGAGCAGTCAAACCCTGATGTAACAAATATGATTTTATTTTTCGTTACACTTTATTTTAGGATGTCCTTGTTACAGTGTAATTATACATTTAAGTACTAAGTTATATAGATTAACTACATGTACTTACTATATGGTTATGGTTAGGATTTGGCTTAGGTTTACATGCATGTAATTATGAATAATTAATTGTTATTATAATATTAAGTACATGTAATGTGTAACAAGGAGGCTTTCTGGCTCCATTAGCTCCATTAGGGGGCACTATCTAATCCAGTGCAAAACCAGTTAGAGCAGTTACACCAGAACACACCCTAACCACACATCAAGAGATAAAAGACGTCCAAAGGTGGTAAAAATGCTTGCGTCTAAAATGAATTACTGCCTGAAATGACACACTGACACACAAAAGATAGAGAAGCATAAAGGAGATTTAAAAAACTGATTTGCAGCTCTGTCTGTGTGTGTTCGTGTGTGTGTCTCTGCATGTACATTAAAACATTATTTGCACCTTTCAAGAGGGGCTGCTTATTTCTGTTCACTCCTTTCAGGAAGTCCCACATACCTTGTTGCCAAGCAACATGATGACCACATCCTTCTGTGCATACTCATAGATTTCAGTCAGCCAGGCCTACGTAGAGATAGACATGCAAAAAAAAATCACTTTGAAGGACAAGAAATGCATCTGCAGTAGAAACGCATGTCATCATTTCACAACCCACGCTAACAGCAGCAAGGACATGACAACATCCAATAAATACACATCTAAAAACGTCTTGAAGTATTTGTTGGTCTTACTCTGATGTTGTCGAAGGAGGACTTTCTCGTGATGTCATACAGCAGCAGCAGAGCTGTAATGGAAAGCACAGCATGTTCAGATCACTGCATATGTTTCAGAGCTGAGCTTTACAGTAATTAAGCACTGACTCAAAAGTCTGCCATGTTCTTCAGGAGTTGTGACTAAAAATTTGAACGCAGTGTTTAAAGTTCACTGCAGTGATCTCCCACAGAGACTCAAACTGAATGAAATGCTCTACTGAGAAACCGTTTCTACACTATGATATATATGGTATATATTCATATTTGTCTATTTAAATCCAGATGGCGACACACACACACACACACACACATTATATATATACAGTGGTGTGAAAAAGTGTTGGCCCCCTTCCTGATTTCTTATTTTTTTGCATGTTTGTCACACTTTAATGTTTCAGATCATCAAACAAATTTAAATATTAGTCAAAGATAACACAAGTAAACACAACATGCAGTTTTTAAATGAAGGTTTTTATTATTAAGGGAAAACAAAATCCAAAACTACATGGCCCTGTGTGAAGAAGTGTTTGCCCCCCTGTTAAAACTGTGGTTTATCACACCTGAGTTCAAGTTCTCTAGCCACACCCAGGCCTGATTACTGCCACACCTGTTCGCAATCAAGAAATCTCTTAAATAGGACCTGCCTGACAAAGTGAAGTAGACCAAAAGATAAATAGCAGGATTTCTACTATCAAGTATACTACTTGTTGCAAATAGTGGCAATTATCTGCACTTCAGTATTGTAGTACATTATAAAACAGTATGCAATAATAACGTATTGAATGTAAACTATCATTTTAATTCAAATTATTAAATGGACACCGGCTCATTGGGACAATAAAGCCCTCCCTAACCTACTCGATACTTTTCTTTTCGATTATTTCCTTCATTTTTATTGAGAATAAATGCCTTTCTGATGTGATATGAGATTTGAAAAGGGAGGAAAAAAAGTTTGACAAAAGGCGGATTCGAACTCTGGTCGATTGCGTCAAAAAGACTATGACATGCACTTTACCATCTACACCACTGGAGGTGTTGTTTGACAATTGTCTTTTGTAATGTCTAGCCAATCATACGTTGGTGGGCGGAGTTAGTGTAAATAACCTCTGAGATATAGATATAGATATTTAAATACACATTTAAACACACACACATATACATATATACATATACAGTATCTCACAGAAGTGAGTACACCCCTCCTATATATATATATATATATATATATATATATATATATATTTATTTATTTATTATGTGTGTGTGTGTTTATATGTTGCCATTTGTATTTAAATAGGCAAATACATAAGATTTAATGAATGAATCATTATTGCATTGATTAATGTTTCTGGCATGTTGTGTGTTTGTCAGCAATTTTTTAACCCTAACGGATGCAGTGCGTAGATTTTTATTTCTCAAACTGCCATGTTGGAAGACCCATGCACATATTCCAGGATGACAATACCAAAATTCATCAGGCTCAAATTGTGAAAGACTGGCCACAACAGAGTCCTGAACCCAACCCCATTGAAAGACTTTGGGATGTGCTTGAGACAACTTTACACTGCCTGTCCAAAACAAGTTTCACAGTCTACTACTTCATTGACCGCCTTTAGTTTTTATAACATTGTGGCATTGTTTCGACAACGTCATACAAAATTTAAAAAATTTTCCATCAAGAGTTGTGTTAATTTTTGGCCGAGATCTTGTATTGACAATGGGAGAGTCGAACCAACCTGTAAAGTGGAATATGTACATGCATATTTATTCAGCACTGGTTTAAAACATTTTATTTAACCCTCCTGCTGCCAAACTATGGCTTGATGAACTGATATCTACTCTACACCTGGAACGAACTAGGGGGAGAACATTACAGTGGAACGACTGGAACGACCCAAGGGAGAACATTACAGTGATTTTACCAGTGTACTCCACTTTTGCAACTAGGAACACCAACTTTTCAAAGACCAATAAGCAGAGAACACAGTGGCTGATGCCAATTTTTATTTTATATTTTTTTTACATAAGGTTTAATGATGGCAAATTTACACATTTATTTAAAGCAATATTTAATCAAAATAAAAGATCAAAAAAATATTTTCACATTTTTTATTATGTTGTTATTGCCGCTATTTTATAAAAGCATTAAGTCACTTGAGGCTGAACATTAGTGATTTCACCTGTTTACTTCACTTTGTGGCACGCCCAAGAACACCTGAGACCTATGGTAAAAATCACGGTAATGCAAGGCCCTACATGACTTACTGCTTTAAAAAGACTTGTAATAAAATGAAGGTGGCATATTTACCCTGAGCGTCTCTGTAGTACGCGTGAGTAACACTGCGGAACCTCTCCTGACCGGCCGTGTCCCACATCTGCAGGAGAGGAGCGTTAACAGGTGAAGCATAGATGTCATGAAGGGGTACATTTAGGACACTTGACTGGGGAAAAAAATGTCCCAATTAACCTGAATTGACCCTACGTATCAACATGAACCACATCTGAAATGTGTAATTTTTCCAAATCCGTTATAGAAAGAGAGAAACCTGAAACCATTACGAATAATTTGTTTTGTGATTTCGTCCTGATGTAATAAACCTGATCTTTGAACAGGCAGGAGGCCAACCAAATTGAATTTTGTGAAGAAAATGTGAGCGATGCTTGCCTGTGCAAAACACACCACCACATGCAGTCTGGCTGGTTGCTAGGGCATTCCTAGTTGGTTGCTAAGGAGTTATCAGTGATTTCCAAGTAAGAGTTCACTCCATAGTCTTTATGACATTCTGGTCTGTAGATACAGCTCAGCTCCCTCCAGTGTTGGGAAAAGTTACTTTTAAAAGTAATGGATTACAATATTGCGTTACTCCATAAAAAAGTAACTAATTGTGTTACTTAGTTACTTTTTATGGAAAGTAATCCATTATGTTACTTGCGTGTTTCTTTTTGTCACCTGAGCTGGGCTTGCTCATTCATTTTTAATAACAAATGAGGAAAAAGTTATATTTTTGGCAACTGTAAAGGCCCTTTTACAACAAAACAAATAAATAAGCGTCAGGCTGAAGGAAGTGACAATGCGCCCAATTTCTCTCAACATGAAGACAGGAGAGACATCAGTGAATAAATGGGTAAACACGTAACTTGTGTTACTTATCTGAAAAAGTAACTCCTGTATTTTCTTGTAAATGTAAAAGTAATGTGTTACTTTACTAGTTACTTGAAAAAAGTAATCTGATTACGTAACTCGTGTAATTTGTAATGCATACTGGCTCCCTCCTTCACTCTAAAGCTATGGGATGTGTGTAATCCGTTTTATCATCTGATCATAACAGTAGCCGTCTGCTCAAGTTGCACGATTTGAGGCATTATTCATGACCATATGACAAATAGTACAGGACAGGAGTTCAATACAGTACTCAAATCAATATAATTAATAGTGATGCTTGTCTTGTTTGCTTACCTGGAGTTTGATTTTCATGTTATCCACAGTCACCACCTTATTCTACAAGCAACAGGAAGAAAAAAAACACCCATTAAAACACAAAAAAGTACTTAGGAAACCACATTACACTTTCTTTTTCACAAATGGAAGACAAAATAATGAACAGTAAACGGTTTGTTATTCAAGGAAATCACGCACAATCAAATCGGAAAACAATTTAGCTACTACTAAAGTGAGATCTCTTAACTGTGCAATTTTGCTTTTGTGTGGCCAGGCTCTCCACATAGACTTAATTATATAGTGCAGATGAAATAACAGACCAGCTCCCTGCTCAATTTCCTGTTGACGTCAGCCGTTACTTCCTTTGTGAATTAAATGTTTTAAAAATTGCACCTTCTGCACTGAGAAGACCAGACTTATCAGATGTTTTCATGCACCAAATGGCAATGCAATCAGAGACATCAGTCACACAAATGGAAGTGAGAATTTCAGAGATGAGTAATTCTCATCCGCAGACATTTACATACAGGCACCCATTTAGGCCGACTGTAGTTAATGCTGACGGATCAAAAACGTAGGTGTTTAAAGCTGAAGCATGTCATTTTATCGCTACTTTCTCCTTTCTCAGCTTAACATGCAGAGAAAACACAAAGTAGTTTGATTTGTAGTTGCCAGCAGTTACACAGAAACGGCGCCCTTCACCTTTTCATTATGTCACATTATCAGCAACAGGAGAGTAAATGATGACAAAACTGCTTATGTGGTGGACTATAGAGTAATCGTAATCACAAAGACACACTTTGGCTGCTTACTCCTTCTAGGAAGTTCTGCATAAATTAAATCAGAGCAGAGCTCAAAGCAATTCGAGGAGAACATTAACCGGTTCAATAAGAACGCAGGTATATGTCTCCATTGTTCCTTCAAGCACCATTGCATATCTGACTTGAATGAAAACACAAATCTTTTTCTTGACAGAAGTGTGTTCAGCAGAGCTCAGATGTCTCATTGTTTCTCCAAGGGCAAGCCAACAAAAGCTGCAGAATAAGATAAAATGAAATCCACTGAGAAAAACTGTAGTGCTGATTAGGATTGGGAATTGAGAATTGGTTCTTTTTTAGAACCGTTTCAGTTTTATAATACCAAATTTGAACAATACTCAAGTATTTATATTTTTGCATTTGCTTTCGAAAATAAATAAATAATCAAAATGTTTTTTTTCTTCTCCGGATGGAATAGCTAATGGACCCGTTTCGCATTTCTGGGTTTTTCATAAGCAGAAGTCATCATAGTCAAGTGAATTTCTATAATGCTAAATGGAAACTACAACAAAAATAATTTTTGGCATTCCTAATAGCAAAAGACCCTTTGGTCACTATTCACTTCCACGTTTGGAACGACATGAAGGTGAGATGACAATCTTTTTTTTTTGGGTGAACTATGTCTTTAAATTAGTGTCAGTCATGAACCAATATTGATGGTATTTCCTCAAAAGTACTAAAATAATTAATAATGGAAATGTTAAAAAGACTGGGATCAAAGCCAAAATCGTTACATTCCTTACAATTTCCACTCCTGCAGTGGCGATGATATATGACTATAGGATATTCATCTATCAGTTGCGCTAGGAATCTTCTTGATCTCTCCAAGTCTCAACCTATTATTTGAGAAATGGAAACCCGACCTTGTTTCAGTTACGAGGCCCTTTTGACACCGGAAAGGATATCCATTTATGAAAAACATACATCTTTCAGCGCCTCTGCCTATCCAGCATAAATCAAGCATAGCCATCAATTTGTTGTAATGGCTTTCCATTTCTCTGGCATCAGACTTGCTCTGCTCTGGCTCCCACACATCCTCATGCTGAGCAAGTGCTACAAGGAAGAGCCCAAAATAGACACAGGCTATAGTGCTGCCGCTGTGCCATTAAAAAAAAATAAAAACAGCACCGAAACGCTTCACTGTTTCCCTGAGCCGCAGCAGATAAGATGCTTCATTTCAGACTAATTTCAGACTTTGTTGGCAGGCGATCAAAGAATGAGGGTTTAATTGCGCTAGGAATCTTCTTGATCTCTCCAAGTCTCAACCTATTATTTGAGAAATGGAAACCCGACCTTGTTTCAGTTACGAGGCCCTTTTGACACCGGAAAGGATATCCATTTATGAAAAACATACATCTTTCAGCGCCTCTGCCTATCCAGCATAAATCAAGCATAGCCATCAATTTGTTGTAATGGCTTTCCATTTCTCTGGCATCAGACTTGCTCTGCTCTGGCTCCCACACATCCTCATGCTGAGCAAGTGCTACAAGGAAGAGCCCAAAATAGACACAGGCTATAGTGCTGCCGCTGTGCCATTAAAAAAAAATAAAAACAACACCGAAACGCTTCACTGTTTCCCTGAGCCGCAGCAGATAAGATGCTTCATTTCAGACTAATTTCAGACGTTGTTGGCAGGCGATCAAAGAATGAGGGTTTAAAAGGTTTTTTGAACTTCCTAAAGACACCTTCTGTCTGAAAGCATGGCACTTTCTACTCGAATCTGACGTTCGAAACCGGTCCACATCACATGCTAAGCCTTGACCGTTTCAAAGTCTTTTATGCTAACCTCCACTTTCTTGCAAAAACACACACTGTGAAACCAAATTGACTGTGTTGGCTTGAGGGCAAAAATCTATTAGTGGAGCATGACAAACTTCATTTTCCTCCACTAAAATGCGCACCCTTAACGCCAAATGACAACGGCCTCTTAGTGTGTTGGTGTATCAACCGTGATGACTCCAAAAAACGAAAACATGACTAAATTCTCAGTTTGAGAAAATAAACCCGAAATATTGATGACTCATCTTGCATTTAGGGGCGTATACCAATTTTTGTCCAATCAAATGCTCTCTACAATGACAATGTCGGTAGTAATTGTAACTATAGCAAATGATGAAATACAGGCCGATGAGCTCTTTGATAGGTCGCACTCAAACTTTCTGTTTTAATAGAATATGCATCACTTCACTGGGTCTCTAAAGTATTGATGAAACTGAACAGATCTTTTCTTCCGTATTGCGACAAAGTGTAACAGATTATTGTGAAAGGAAACATAACGTGAGACTCGGTAGGGTTCTATTCTGTTGACTGGATTTTGAGATGTGGCCGTTGCACTAAAAAACGAATTCCAGCTTGCAGTCAATTATGGAGGGACGGAGTTTAAGTGGACTAAATTACTCGAGGTCCAACATATGTCAGATTGCAAGGTCAAATAAACAAAAATGTAAAAATAAATATGCATGATGAATCATTCACAATAAGACCATTAACATGCATTTGGAAAATAGTACAGGTGAGTTTTCATCTCACGCCGACTTTAAATACACCCCAGTTAAGTTTTAACCAAATATTTTCTCTTTTTCTCCCCAACCAAGTGCTTGGCAGGTGCAGCTCAAGACCCAAAGTGTCACGTGGCGACAGGTTAATCATTTAGCCAGACTGAAACGTGAACGAGTATAAAATTGGCCTGTTATATCCAAACACTCCAAGACATCTTGAGTGGCACAGTGGCTTCACAGATTTGTCCGAGAGGCTGCTGGACTGCACCAGTACCACTTCAGAAGACCACAGAGATTTGCACAGTTAAAAGCCAATGGAGAGTGAATACACACACACACAACCTCTCTATGATGGAGTGCCAGAACAGCTTATTGATTAGATGCTGGATGTAAGTGTTAAAGGGTCATAACATATTTTTCTAAGCATCATGTTTTTTGCCTCTGAGGTCCACTTATAATATTAGATTTTGATGAATAATTTGCTCCCTCTTTCTGACTCTCAGAATTAAAGAAAAAAATATTTTTAAAAGATGCTGGTAACGAAACCGTTTTTGTGCCCAGTGCACTGAATGGACAAAAAAGCAAAAAATGTATATATATATCCGTTTTCTTATGTTGCACAGAAGAAATTAAGTAATACATGTTTGGAACGACATGAGGGCAAGTAAATGATGACAGAATTTTAAATTTTGGGTAAATTATCTCAAAGTCTGTGGAATAAACACCCTCTTCACATGAGCAATAGCAGCTTGCTGTGAGCTGCGGGTTTGCTTTCGGGTCTAATATAGTTTGTGATGTCTCATCCTTCAACAACAGCCTCTTCGCAAAGCGGCATTATATTGTGACATTTGTGTGATTCATAAAACAATCTGCACTAAAATGTGCAACTCAAACTGTTAAGATGAGACTGAAACAATCATGGACTTTTAAAAAAAAAAAACAAGCTGCTCTTTCTTGACATCATAAGCATACTTCTATTGTTAGTTAAATAGAAAACGATGTAAAGGCTAGCTTGTTTACACCAAAGACGATAACTGAAATGATGTTTATAACCACTGTATAACCATTCTAATTCTATGAGAACCCAGCAAACGAATGTTCTCAGAACACTGGTTAACATGTAAACAGAATGTTAATTTGAATGTTGTTTAAAAGTTCTAAAATGCATTATTTATACATTGTTCATGGAACTTTTTTTGAACATTTTATATGGTATGCACTCCATGTCTTATGCGTTTTTAGACATTACTACTTGTTTCAGAACAATTAGAGGACATTCATAACGTTCCAATAATTTTTGCAAAATCAAACCGTATTGATCAAATTTCATAATAAAAATATGGAGAGCCAATTCAAATTCACCTGACATTAAAGAGCTTGAGCATTTAAAGCAGTAGGCAACAAAACGTTTAGCTCTGAAACTTACAATACATCAAATGCTTATTTCAGTTCAACAAAAAATTGATTCATCTTGATATGACCTCCATCAGTAGATATAAACATGTTGTATAAAGAGAAGCAAACCAGCTCCATCCACTGCTGGCTCACCCTAAAGTCAATCCCCACTGTGGCAATGAAGTTGCCTCCCAGAAAGGCACCATCTTTAAAGCGCACCAGGACACAGGTCTTCCCCACTGCCGAGTCTCCCAGCAGCATCACCTAAAGGCATCAGGGTCAGAGACAGCTGTTAGGCCTACAACCACATCCTGGTTTTGTTTAATAAGCTCTAACTGTTCACCAACTTTATGTTCAAGTCAACACGGAATGACATTCACAACCCACTTTACTTCCATAAATCGACATTTTTGAGTGGAACAAGACAAAACTGTCAGTCGAAAATGACTGGAGTGTGGAAAGTGTGACAGGTGGTTAAGAGAAAAGGTTTGAAAACAAGAGCGAATCAAATGATTGAGAGTATTATACAGCAGCAAATCATGCACAATATACCAGGAACATGCATTTACATGTAATTAGGGTTATTTTTGCTCCCATGTTGACTTTAACACCAAAACGCAGTTGTTTTTAAAGGGGTCATATGATGCGATTTCAATTTATAATGTACAGTATGTGGAAAATAATGTGTTTTTTTAACTTTAAACCACATAAACACATTTCATTACACCAAATGCACAAAATAATGTTATTTTTTAGCAGCATCATATGACCCCTTTAACAGAAGAAAATGCTGTGCAATGGAAACTCAAATTGTGAAATGTGTTTGCCCAATTGTATTTTACAGGTATTGCATCATATTCTTTGCTGAAACTACTGTTGCTCAATTCCAACATTGCATATTGTTTATCACTTTAAATCTACGCGTTTTCTTCACTTCAAACAAGACGGAGGCAAAAACAGCTCCTCTTATTGGGCTAAAATAAATTCTCAAAGGATCATTCTGGAATCCCTGAGACTTGTATCGTCGAGTCTCTTCAGACTACATCAATACGTCTTCAGATGCGTTCAGATGACTCCCTCCCTGAGTCAATATTTATCTACCAGTGAGGGAAAAGTCAAACTACTATCACATTACTTAAATATTAGAGGAAATACAACAAATAAAAAAGGGCGGTATACTTTATTATAGCAGTAGTTCTCAACTGGTGGTTTGCGACCCAAAACAAGTTGTGGGCGGCAGGGGAAAAAACAATGTTAGCTATAGATAATTTCAATGCAATAATAATAAAATGCAACTAACTAACATTGTAGAATAAGAATAGGGTTAATTTTCAAACGGGAGAACAATACTATGTTCTATTAATAATTTTGCTAAATTGATTATAATCTGATTGACTATTTTCTTTACTTTTTTAGAATCAGTAATTTTTATACTGCGTTTAGTCGCCACTTTGGTCCAAACGCAAAACCAGTTTTGAAGAACCACTGCTATATTGTACCATTAAGACAGTTACTATTATTAAATGTGCATGCAAAACGACATGTTTGCAGCCATTTAACGTGAATTCAGACAGTTGCATGGCTGTGAACATGCCTTTGCATTCTTGAAAAGTGATTTCCGAGTAGAAGACGCACGCGCGCGCCACAGGTGCCAACTAACGCTGGGCAGATTTTTCAGACACAACAACATCAACAACAATACAAATCATGACACCAGCAATAAACTAAACAATAAAATATAACTCACACCTTGAAGGCAATATCAAAATACTCGTTGACCGAGGCGCATCGCTCCAGCACATTTCTCGACGTTCCGTTTTTAACCCCATTCTCCATCAATGTTGCTTTTTTGATTGACATCGCGGAAACAAATAACGGGGATCTTGCTTTCGATGTTCTTCTCAAGACGCGCCGGTGACTATATCACAAATGCATAACATAGTGCATCTAAAACGCGCCCAAACTTCATCAGATGCTGGCTGAGGATGAGTATTATGAAGAAACACAAAAAATGCATCTATCCAAAAAGCGTCCTCTTCATCACCATTAACGCGCAAAGACGCAAAACATGATCGTTATCGTGCAGTTGCGCGCATAATCTCACACAGCACAGAAGCAGATCGCTCCACAACACTCATGAGCAACAGGCTCCCGTGGGTAACGCACACACACAGGTGCCAGATCACATCTGATCACACTGATTGAGAGGAGGAGACCGACCAATGACACCCATCAAGCGACGCGACTAAACCAGACGCGCCCATTATAATCTGCGAACTCTCGGTAGCGCGTATAATAGGAGCGTTGTGGTTTTGTCGCGTCGCGTCTGTTGAGCGGCAAATGCTACCCAATATGTTTTCTGTGTGCAATAAAACCGTTTTTTTTCCGCAGGGGGCGCTTCGGGGCTCAGAAAGCTCAGTCCTCCGTTTAACTTCATTCAAATCTTAGAATATGTTTTGATTTAATAGATGCATTTGTACACCAGAACGTTTAATCGTTCAAATGTATTCATTCCAAGCACTGGCACCTGAAATACAAATAAAAAAAATCCGAACCAGCAATCTCGAATAATTAAATTGAAAGAAATGACATCGCAAACGACTGCGATTAATCCATCCTAAACACCGCGGTGAAAAGTATCACGTACCACGTGACAACACTGTCTACTTTTGTGGCGCCTCAGAAGCGGACATTAATAAGGTCTGGGCATTAATTATTTACTACTGAATAATGATACTAATAAATGTTAATAATGTATGTGAATTGAAAATACGAAGTCAAGCGTTAAATATAAGAATTATTTGTTTGGATGCATTTTACCTGACACAAATTCCGGGCTATCAAGCCCCGCCCTTTTCGTAATTTTGTTTCAGTTTACACAAGTCTCATTCTATCAGATCATTCCATTTCTGTGAGAGAGTTTCGCTTAATATTGTGGTTTGTCGCGACGATTGCGGCCAATGCAGATGAGGTTTGACAAACTGCAGCTCATTGTAATGTCAAATGCGTAAAGATTTGTTTGAAAAGGGCACTTCTCTTTACATGCGCTACCTATTATAACTTACCTGAAATATGAACGCCTCTTAAACACCTCTTGCTCTTTCATTCTTGTTCCGTGAATTGTCCTGCATTTGTCCGTATTTGTCCTTAAATCCATTATATGGATAATAATAATTACTATATGGTGTACTTACAACTTTAACAAGTGTTACAAATGAACTGAGCTTTCATTTCTGATTTAAAAGCGTGTGTTTAGTCCGCCATCTACTGAACAATTAGTGTAATGACATCCACTGTCATCCATTTACTGTATGTGTATCTCACATAATAACATAAAATATAAAAAGTACAGTCTTAAAATAAACACTCAACATTTAATTAATAATCATTTATATTTAGCAGTATTTCTCTCTCTCTCTCTCTCTCTCTCTCTCGTTATTATCTGCAGGAATATTGTGCCCGTATCCAGCAGGATGGCTGTGAGGACCAATGATGTATTCATGCATGTCTTCTTTAAACTCAGTCTTGGCACAGTCTACCTAAATAGGTATTTATTTGTGCACAGAAAAAAACATATTCCCAGAATATACTTACTGCTCATATTCTGCACACATATTAAACACCCTGTTTCACACACAAAAACACTGAGACTAATTACAAAATATGAAGGAAAAACAATAACAAACAGTGATGATGCAACCGAGGCCAGACAGATCCCTCAGTAATTATAATCAGAGCCTGCAGTAAAATGATCATTATCATATTATTGTAATCAGACGCTCTCTATTGAGAAAGCCCAGCGGCTCTCTGCAGGGAGTTACGACAGTAGATAGAGGAGCAAATGCAGCAGGCAGAGCCGACGTGGAAGCTATTGATATTTGTGTGTCAGTCAACACAAACATGTGCGTTTAATATTAGTAGTAACATATTTAGATATAAGGTTAGCATGTAGAGGATGATAGGGGAATCATTAGCTAGTTTAGCCTATGTGACAGCATTTTTTCCTTGTGAATTCCTACACTCTAAAAAATGCTGGGTTACATACAACCCAGTGCTGGGTAAAATAGGGACTGTACAAACTGCATAAAAAAACTTACATTTATACAAATGTAACAATATGTTATTTAATTTACAATGTCATTTGAGGTAAAACAAACCTGTCCTGCTACTTTTTTTATTTTCCCAGCCGTTCTCTTTTAATATTTGTTAGTCTTTATGTTTATACCGTGTTAAAAAGTCTATTTAACATCAGAAAGATGTCAACTTATTACCTAAAATACTTACTTATAAAACATGACACAAAACAATGACTGTAAATTTCATGAAAATAATTTTTTTTAATAAATTAAATTAATAATAATAATAATAATTGTGAGGTGACTTTGTAATATTAAATGTAATTTTCTTTCTTAAGTAAATGTATCTTGTTTTAAGGTTATTTTATTTTTTTATTTTTATTTTTGTGCAGTGTATCCGGTCCTGTGCTGGAGAAAAGTCATGTCACCTGAGTGTCCTGAGAAAAAATTATCTGTGACCTTCTGCAGAGAGACTCACCGTGAAGCCGATGCCCACAGTAGCAGAGAAGGACCCTTGGATGAATTTTCCCTGGTCAAACTGCACTAACAGAGACGTCTTCCCCACTCCACTGTCTCCAACTAGTATGGTCTGCAACAGACAGACACGAACAGACGGAGGGTCAAATGAAGATAAAAGTATTGTGACACTTATGTGCTTGTCAGATGTTAGTAGATCATAGTTAATGTGATTCTCTACTCCTGCGGTTCCTCTGTTAGGACACCTGTGTGAACTTGAGGAGAACTGATTTCATACTTCCACTACAATCACCACAACAACAGAGAATTAAAAGACACTGAGCACAAATGATGACGAAAAGTGAAGGTAGTGAAGAGAAAACATCCTGCAACATTTGAACACAGATGCCACTTAGTTTGCTATTATGCTGTCTAGGCTGAATTCACATTGCCACAACAAACTCCAACAAACATGGTTGCTGGGTTTTGCTGGATCAGTGTGTTAGTAGAAAAAAGTTCCCAGAAAAGAGAAATTCATACAGGTTTGGAACAACTTGAGGGCGAGTAAATGACAGAATTTTCATTTTTGGGTAAACGATCCCTTTAACATTACATGTATTCTGTAAAAAATATAGAACATTGGATACAACAAAACAAAATTCTCAAAGCATGTGCTAAAAATACAGTGTAAAGTACATGCATAACATGAACAAACATTCAGACAAGTGACAAACCCAGGGAATAATTAAATGTCTTAATTTCCCCTTCGCTGCATTCTCAAATCTACATAGCGTGATATCTGTCGCGCAGCTGAACTGTGATGAATAAATGAGCCTGAGCTTTAGTACGGCAGAGATGATCATAGCTAGAGTTGTAAAGGCAGATTAGTCACTTTCATGTCGACACCTGCTACTGGCGTCAACAAGAATTAGTTTGGGGGGACAGCTTTCTCATCAAGAGATCAGTCAAGGTGTTTGTTAATGGTGCTGTTCGCAAAGGCAGGCATCACTATCCATGTTGAAAAAACCAGCATATGCTGGTTAGGTATGTTTTGAAGCATGGCAGCTGATTCAAGTTGGTTCTTAGTTGGTCCTGAGCTGGTTATAAGCTGGTGCTGAGCAGGAGATAGTAGCTCAGGACCAGCTTAAACCAGCTCAAACCATGCTTCAAAACATACCCAACCAGCATATACTGTTTTTTTTTTTTCAGCAGAGATTGATAGCCTGTTGCTCATATTTGGGGTTTTAACTGCAGCTTGTTGGTCAAATGTACGGCTGGCTTATAATAAAATGGGTGAAAACATTCCCTAGACTTCTAAAATGGACCTTGTCATATTCACAGACAGAATATGATGGAGTGATAGTGATTTGTGGGTGGGTTCTTTTGACTTGTGGCACCTAGAAATGCAATATGCTTAAAACAGTCCTTAAGCCCTAAACACACGGCACGGTTTTAGCAATCCTATAAGATCATTGCATGTCACACTGTGTGACATGGATCTAATAAACTTGGTTACAACGTGTGTTTAGACTGTACGATGATGGCATCTGTTGACTCGTACGCTACGACGCACGTTCCTATAGAAGAATAAAACGTCATCAGCATGCCCTAGTAGTAAACAAAAAGCATGATAAATCACACGTTAGCAGTTGTATTTTTTTATGTGTGCTGAAAAACAGTGGAAGCGGCGAAAGAGGAAGAGCTTGAGGTAAGCAGTTTTATGTTTTAGCGCTATGTCGCGTTGATTTCATGTCGCATTTTTATTGGTTGGTCAGTAAACGTGGATCGTACCAGCAAACACACTGTGCGACGATCACGCTTTATCGTAGGCTATCTTTGGTCGCAAGATCGTGACAACTGCCGTCTTTGAACCTCTCTCACAGGACCACCAATTAGGAGCCACGATCACAGAAATCACCACGATTGTTTCACGATGCCAATCTTTTGTCAGGGACAGCCGAAAATCGTGCAGTGTGTTTAGGGCTTTACACATTAGAAACTGTACAGCAACATCCTTCCCAGAACACTATTGCAACCACTTACAGTAGAGACGCCCTAGCAACAACCCCAAAAATGCTACAATCAGTGTCACAACATGGCAAGAGAGAAGACACTGTACACATTAGCAAGCTCAATGCAGGCAACCAGAATACACCAGCAACACCATATCAATCATCTAAACTCTTCTCAGCTTAGTAACTACATATAAATAGTCTAGCAACCATCTAGAAATGCCCAAGCAACATTTAGAGAACCTTGACATCTGCATAGCAAATACCTGTCAACTACCCAGCAAAACTTAGCAAATGCTTTAACAACCAACAACAGAAAAAAAAAAACTCTTGGCAACCACATAACACCCTAGCAAATGCATAGCAGCATATTAAAAAACACATGTAACACTTTTACAATTGCATAGCAATAACTATACATAAACAACACATAAAGCTGAACTAGCAACCACCTAGAATACTCTGGTAACCACCTAGAAATGACCTAGCAACATTTGGAACACCTTAAGATCTGCAACACCCAGCAATCACCCACTCATGGCAACCGCCTAGAAATGCTTTAGCAACCAACCCAAACAATCAGTGCTGGGTAGATTACTTACAAATTGTAGTCCATTACTGATTCCAAATTACATGACAAAAATTGTAGTTAGTAACGTAATGCTTACATTACATTTTTTG